TTTAGAAGGAGGCTTTTTTTTTTTTCCAAAAGTGCTACATGAATGTGTTATGAGGTAGCTGAAAGGACTTGATACCAAAAATGCAATCTATTACCTGATGAGATTCCTCAGAATGTTTCTCACTCCATGAAGCACCCTCTTAGCTGTGCCTTCACCATATTTTCTGAACCAGTCTCGGCCTGGGGTGTGCTTTTCCAGGGAGACTCAGCCAGGTGGAGCCCATGACGTCTCCTTCCTGCCGGGACCCACAGGCAGGCCCTCTTTCCCGTGTACTCGAAACACCCTTCCTCCATGACCACTGGCTGGAAAGGCCATTTATTTTTAATGAGAAAATTGCAAGGTTTACTGAGAATTAAAACATCTTAAAGTCATGTATTGCTCTAAATTATTTTTGAAAGTGAGCAGATACCTCTGGTTAGTGAACGATGGAGGTAAAAGGAAGGTGGGGAGGGTGGGGTAAGCAGGTAGAGGACTGGTGGTTAGGAATTTGTTCATTTAAAGAAGCTGAACTTTTTGTTGTTCTTGTTCTAGCGTGCAGTCTGGGTTCATATGGGTAAAATGAAGAATCAAAGCAGTTATCAAGCTGAAGAAACTATTGCTAAGGAACTTTGGCTTAGATTCACCCAAGTGGTGGTTTTTCAGGCTGAAATTCACCCAAAAAGGGCCGTCATGAAATGAACACCAGCCTGTTTTCAGAATTTAGCTCTGAACTTGGTCCTTTCAGCCGTTTTAGTGTCCAGCTGTTATGGGCAGGGTTCCCTACTCCCTGGTCAGTTAAATAAAGCTGCAAGGCTCTGTGAGGAGTAAAAGCCAATTAGCCTGGTCTCTGGTCGCAGCTTGAAGCCCTTTCCAGAAAACTGGAAGAGCATATTTTTCCAGGTGGTATGAAGAGCCTCTTTGAGGTGTCTGGCTTGACATAAAGATGCTCAAAGGGAAAACATTTGACAGAAAGAGAGAAGAGATGGGAATGAAAAATCAGATTCCCTTGGGTGTCAGCATAGAACTCTAAAGTTTTGTGATTTTAAGTTCTGCTTCTGGCACCAAGATCTGTAAGTAGATGGAAACAAAAAAAACCCTCAAAACTGAAGCGGGACCAGCCCTCTGTTTTCTCTCTTTGGCCTCCAAGTGCCCTTGGCTCTCCTGCTGCATTTTTCCCTCCGCCTTCCTGAAGTATTCAGAATTTCTCCCCCTAGTGCATGTGTGTGCTTGCCCAGATGCGGGTACCTATCGCCTTTCCCACAGCTGAACCCTAAAAGGGATGTGTTGTCCTAAAATACTTCCGGTATAATATTTATTGCCAGACTGATTTAAATTGATGTGAAAAGGGCTAGTTACTACAAATAGTAAAATAACCTATCATGAGAATCCAATTCTGGTTTAAAATGGAAACATATCTTCTGGCTAAAGAATCTGCATAATACCTTGAAATTTTTTTACTCCAAAGAATTCTAATTTCTCATACTTATTATCTACTTTTGTTCTGTAACATCACAATTCATAGTGGGAGATGGAGCATGTAAATGACTTCGATCACGTAATTTTAGAGGCCATGTATCAGATTTTGAATCTAATTTATATACCAGTGTCTCTTAAACTTATTGAATGCCTGTATATTTACAGATTGCTTAAAAGTAGACACTGTCATCTAATGCTATGTAATTATGATTTAGAGCAGCATGCACAAGCTAACAAACTGTTTTACTAAGTCAGTTTTTCTTACCTTTAACCTCTCCTATGTGACTGTGGTAAGCATCAGATACTCAAAATAATTCACTTTTCAGCTTCCCAGCTAGGTCGAAGAAGCAAATCCAAGAACTAGTTCTCTTCCAGTGTCCTCAAAATACCAGACATATGTTCTGAAGTTTTTTCCTCCAATATGTATGACATTTATAAAAACTGAGTGTTAAGCGAAGCAACGTCTAGCAGATTTTACCTTCTGCCCTCAACTGAAAGAAAATCATCTGTTCAGTGGAGGCTCTATAGGGATTAATGCCTGGAGTAATGCCTGAGAACGAAAGTCCATAGTTGGAGTTTATAATCTTTTCTAGCTACGTGATTTTGTTAAACAGTTGTTTAAAAACACATGGTTAGCTATATTTTCAGCTGCAGGACAAAAATACCTTCAAGAACAAATTCTGCTAATTCTGCCCCAGTTAACAAAAATAGAATATAAACCCGAGGCAGAAGTCTCCCTCTTCTCAAACCGCAGCTTCCTTCATCTAAAACCTATGGTGACCTTACCTCAAACTTCCATGCCCTCTGCTCTTTTTACTCTGCAGCCGCCACCGCCTCTTAAAAACTTGAAAGGATCTGTAAACCAACTCACGTTTTGTTTGTTACTCTTTGGTTATTCGCACTACCAGTGTTACAGAGCATGTGTGCTTGTTAAAGGGATTTTCTGGATTAGCAGACAGAGTAGGGAATTGGGGCTGTAGGTGTAGGAAGGCTTTGAAAGCCAATCGGATTTAGGCAGAGTGTGAAGATGAGGTCTTAAACCCCGCGTCTACCCTTCGTCCATGGGAAGGTGGATCCTTCTGCAAGTCCTGATTCTGAGGGGTTATGAGTGTGGGAAAAAGCCCCTCTCCCCTGCACCCAGGCTTGTCATGCCCAGGGGAGCTTAGGCCAGGCTGCAGGTGGGTACCCTGTCTCCTGCTTTTCCTCCCCAACCCAGCTTCCCTCCCCATCTGCAGTGTAGGGACCGTCTGGAGGGCTGTGTGTGTGTGTGTGTGTGTGTGTGTGTATTTTCTGAATGATTGCAATTTGTTCAGTATTTATTAGAGCTTTCTTTTAAAACTAGAACTTGCCCACCCTATCTGATATCATCTTAGACAAATAACTAGGAAACAAAAGTGTATTATTAAAAATAATATAATAAATGATAGTATTTTACTTATAAATATATATATATATATGATGTAATAGTAATAAATAAAATAGTAATATTACTGATACCTAATATTACTTCACTTGGGTCATTGAATGCCTTATTTGTACTTCTCAGAGATAAATGTGTTTGAATTTCCCAGGATTTTTTTAATAGGCTAGCTGTCCTTTTGAAATTAATGACCAAAACTTAGTGTTTTCACAATGGCATTCCTCTGCGAGTCAATATATGTAACCATTTTCAACCAGTAACTTCATTAGGACTTTATAGAACACCTACTGAGTGTCAGGCACTCACTGATGACCAGACAAGCCAAACCCAGAAGAGAATCAGCCACAAGAGCTACAAGAGTGAGTCGTCGTGGTTACTGTTCATTCATTCAGCAAACACGGAATTCCTGCTTAATTGCTGGCGTCACCCTGGGAATAGCTGGTACAGCACCAGGTAGACAAACATCCCTGTGCTCTTGGAGCTTATTATTTACCAGCAAGAGACAATCAAGCAAAGAAATAAATGAGTAAATGAGGAATACGACAATATCAAGTACCATAACGAAAATAAGTATGTGCAAGGATGTGAGTAGAGGCTAAAATATAAAAATTAAAATAAAAATAAATGGTTAATGATGGCTTCTTAGAAGAGTTAAAAGTTGGTCTGAGACTTAAGTGATAGGTAGGAACCTGTTCCGGAAAGATATGAAGGAAGAGTTTTCAAATTATTGGGCAGGAATGAGTTTGGTTAGTTGGTTTGAGAGTAATGATGAAGAGGACTTCTGTTTAGAATATCAAGGGTTTGAGATGCTGTGAAATGGAGATACAGACAAGTGAAGGCGTCCTGCAAGCAGTCTGGGTTGGAATCCTGGTGGTGTTGGGGAGAGAAGGGAATGGGGACACATGTAAAAGTTAGTGTATAATATTTGTACGGCATGACTGCGTATTGGGAGAGTGTAGCCATAGAGAAGAGAGAAATCCAGGACTGAGTCATGGACATGTCAACCTTTAAAAGTAAAGCCGAGTGATCTGCTGCCGAGACCAGGAAGCAAATTAAGAAGAACCCTAGGAGAAAATGACGTCAAGAATGTATTTCAAGAATGAGAGAATGGTCAACTGTATTGACTGCTGCTGGAAGGTCTAGTAACACAGGAATGAAAAGTCAGGTAGCAGCGTGGGCGTCCTCCTGACCTTACGAGAGCAGCTGTGGTGGCCTCTTACATGTAGATAGTAGCCTACTTGGAGCGGGTTGAGAAGAGAAGAAATGGGAAAACTTCAAGACAGCAAAAGTTAGCCATTTCAAGAAGTTTTATTGAGAAAGAGAATGAAGATGTTGAAGTTGGAATAAGATTGGGGGTTAAAAGATAACATTTTTATTCAATTAATTAAAAGAGAGTTACTAGAATATGCTTATAAGTAACGTGCATAATCAAGTATAGATGAATAGAGGGAGAAATTGATGAGCAAATTCCCTGAAAAGTTAAAAGGGATTGACTCCATGAGCAAAGCGATACAGTTAGTTTTTGATAGGTGCAGGGAGTGATTATAAATATGAAGACGGCTTCACAATACAGGAGGATTTCTACATTAAAATGTTGAGAAACTAAAGCAGACCAGGTGGAGCCACACGACTTTGCTGATTTGAGGCCATTTTTGATTTGTAAAAATACCACTTTTCTATGGCCTAAACATACAATAATCTGCTTACATAAAAGAGCTTAGAACACACATACTGAAGTCGATGACAAGCTCATGGATGTTTTCAGTTTTCCCTTTTCTGTAAATTTAGTGAAATGTTTTCACGTAATTTTAAAACAAATGTAAGGGAAATATTTAATGCCTCGTAAGTTGAATATTGCCCACTTCAGCTTCGTCTTTAGGTGCAGTCATAATGAATACTAAACAGAACAAAAGCAGAGTTAGACCCATGTAATTGTTCTAGTTTTATCTGAGCCTCTGTGTTCTGTTCTAAAGGATTAAAACATCTTCAAGATTCCTTAGGATTTTTGTTTTTTAGTGACTTGGATGTAAAAAAAAATTAATTAAAATGAATCCATGTGTTTTGTAAGATTTGCCTTTAAAAATGTGTCCTTTGGCTTAAGTGTTTATATTTTTCCTTATCCCAGGGTTGTTTATATTTATCTTCCACTGCGCTATGAAGGAGAATGTTCAGAAACAGTGGAGGCGGCATCTCTGCTGTGGTAGATTCCGGTTAGCAGACAACTCAGGTAAAGGGGCATGTCGGTCATTGGTTTTTACATCTGAGAGTAGTCAGACACATTTCCCATTTGGTCTCTCCCATTGTCAGAGCAACACAGTCCCAACGATAGAAGGTTGTAAAGGTGGCGGATGTGAAGATGCTTATTTAGCTGGAGACTTGGAATATCAGGAATGCAAGAGATCTGAGGACGCTGGGCCCGACCCTCCTATTTTGCAAAGGAGAAGTATGAACTCCAGACAGGTGGAGTTGCCCAAGGTTTTATGTCTAATTTAACAACTGAGATATCCCCCGTACCATACTCACCTTTCCACATTTTTGAAGTCCTCAATTACATTATTAGGCAAAGAGATTTTTCTCAATTTAAAAATATCCTTGAAGAAAACTTCCAATTTTTTTTTTAACCATCACTGGTTACTTCTCACCCTTTAGATCTTAAAGTGGAATTTTAAACACAAGGTCAAAGTGAGAAAGTTCTCTGTTACTTCTGTTTTTATTGTATATATGCCAGTGTCTTCTCTGAGCCGCTGCCAGCAGATCAGAACATCTAATGCTGTAGATCAGCTACTTAAATAACATGGTGATGACTCTTCAGGGCAGGGTGTACTCCCCATGAAGCAGGCTCATGGAGAGATGTCATTTCTTTCAGACTGGAGTAAGACAGCTACCAATATCATCAAGAAAAGCTCTGATAATCTAGGAAAATCTTTGTCGTCAAGCTCCATCGGATCTAACTCAACCTACCTTACATCCAAATCTAAATCCAGCTCCACCACCTACTTCAAAAGGAACAGCCACACTGGTGAGTCATTCTGGCCATGGTAGAGATGTTCTCTGGTACAGTTCCTGTCCTGTTTTCATTGCGAGGATTGGCATGTCACGAAGATTAAAAGATCACAGTGCCCATTAGGTGCTTATTTTAGATTTATGAAAATCAAAATCTGTTTGAAGACCATAGCCAGCACCGTTATGAATTTTTTGTCTCTTTTAAAATTTTACAATCAATTGAACCTATATGACCATAATATCATTAACTCTGAATATTTTTGTAACTGGTTTGCTTTAAAACTTAGGTTTCCTTAAAAAAAAAACGGTATTTTGTTTAAAAAGCTATGTGTTTTTATTTAAAAAATACAGAAATTGAGTTGCAGATTATTTCAACATAGTTTGTAAGTTACTTTGCAAGTTGGCATGGGAACAGGAAGAAACATCATCCAGGATGTATATTACAGATAAGATTTTAGTCCTTTGAAGTATATACAAATATCAAATCATAATGTTGTACACCTAAAGTTAATACACTCATATATCAATTACTTCAATAAGAAAAAAGAAAAAGAATACTCAAGTCCTTGACCATTGAAAGCGTTACTGGCAATTGATCTTTGAATCTCTAATTAAATACCAGAGAATAGAGAGCATCATATTTAGAAAGTGATACAGGACTGTGAGAAACACCGTGTCTTTGTTCATCACCTGAATCTTCATGATATATACAATGACCACACTTTCTGACACTGAGCATGTATGTGAACAATCCTGAAGACAATACGCAAATGCAGGCAGACCTCGGAGATACTGCAAGTTTGCTTTCAGACCACCATAATAAAGCGAATATTTGGAATAAAGAGAGCCAGATAAATTTTTTTGGTTTCCCTGTGCATATAAAAGTAATGTTTACACTACACTACAGTCTATTAAGTGTGCAGTATAATTACGTAAAAATGTACATACCTTAATTTTAGAAGATACTTTATTGCTTAAAAAAAAACTGCTAACCGTCATCTGACAACACAGGGTTGCCACAAATCTTCAATTTACAAAAACTGTGGTATCTGCAAAGAGGCAACAAAATGAAGTACAGTAAAATGACATATGCCTGTAAAGACTAGTTTACAGTACTTGATAGCCAGTTAGTGGTGTAAAAAGGTATAATTTTTAATAATTTCAATCAAAAATAGCAGAATTGCTACTTTTAAATACTAAATAAACCTCAAGCAAACAGCTGTCTACTCAGCATCCAGCACTTTCCTAATGAAAGATGCTTCTGAAATGAGGATAATGGAAATAACTTTAAAATTTTGAATTTGTTTAGCTGATAAACATAAGCAGAGGCAAGTGGCACCAAAAAGAGAGATTCATATTTGGCTTTTTGCAGATAGAAAGTGATGTATGTGATTGTCTGTAAATGTTCTCATTGCAAACGCTTGAATTTCAAATGACCCTTCTGTACATTTGACTCCTCCTACACGTCCCCGCTGGCACCACTGGTGTGGCCGCTGCCTGGGATTTAAGATAGCACTGTGGAAAAAAGTTTGAATGTGTTGAGAGTTTTTTAATTCCAAAATTAGTTAAAGAAAGATTGGAAACTTGGAGCAGCTTTGGAGGGTTCCTTAAGTGTTTGGGAGTCAGAGACATTTTTGGAAACTGAATAAAAGCTCTGGACTGTTCCAGAAGAAAGGGCAGCCTTTGAGTCCTGCAGTTTTGCCTAAAATTAAGGGATCTATGCAGCCCTGCTTGAAATATTTGTGTGAAAAAAAATTGATAACATGTATATGGTCTGAGACAGATTATTCTACCTAGTTGGTAGTTCCCTGGCACAAAATGTCTTTTAACAGTTGGCCCTTGAACAACACAGGTTTGAACCTCATAGGTCCACTCATATGCAGGTTTTTTCAGTAGTAAATACAAGAGGACTGTATGATCTGTAGTTGGCTGAATCCGTGGGTACAGAACTGCAGATATAGTGGAACCTCAGATACAGAGGGTCGGCTAAAGGGATTCTTGTCAACTAGTATAAGGATGTAGTCAGCTACATGACGTTACTTCCACGAGAGAATAAATTCTGGTTTGCAGTCAACTAACGTAGATAGCCTCAGCGGGACAGCTGGGGTGCTTGGGTCGGGGTACGCAGGAAGTCACCACGTAGCATCATGGATATCTAGATGGTTTATTTCTTGGAATTGATCTAGAAATTCATATGTTTATGGTGTAGATAATGTCTTCTAAGAGCATTGCTTCAACAAAAGTGGATCATTCAGGTAAACTTTTACTGCTTTTTTAAATGCATGAATTTTTTGCAAGGTTAATAGGAGAATATTTGCATGGGTTAAACTTAAGACTCTTGCTGCACCAGCAAAATTGCTTGTTCTTTACAATACTTCTCAGCGAGCACAAGGACATTCCTGCATTGAGCTGGAATTTCTGAAATTTCAAATGGTCCTGTGCTGTGGCCGCTCTTCTCTGCATGGGGGTGTCTGCAAGCTGCTCCTTCTAGGAAATGTACCATGCTCTGGAGTTAGTGGGTCACATCTCAGGTAAAATAATGTGAAGGAAAAAAAAAAAGCAGTACTTGAGAGGTTTGATATGGAAAGGAGTGAACTTCTTTAATTTTTCACTGCTTTTATGAATGACTAGATATGTCATGGTACATTCATAGAAGTCATAAAAAAGTCAATTCCAAGCCTGCTTTTTGAGGACTTTTATCTGCTTGAAATTTCAGCATAGGTCAAATAACAGTTCATTTCCCTAGCCCCTGGTTTTCAGACTTGCAGCCATAATCAAAATCTATATTGTCCACAATATAGTAGCTATCCAGAAGAATGGGAACAGCATATATACTGAAATACAGACCTTGCTCAGAATTTTACTTTATTAGTCTGTGAAGACTCAAAAAATTGGGTGACATATTTGGAATGGAGCTGGTCAAAATCTCTAAAAAGTACATGCCCCTGGAAGTTGTTAATGAAGCATGATATTTCTTTGAAGATGTGTGGTTTTCTAAAAACAGCAAGTACATATTGTTCATTATTGAGATTTCAGTTGACAGAGAAATTCCCAACAGAAAACCAATGGCTAGTGGACATACGGACTGAAGGAAAGCACAGAACCAATCAGCTTGCTAAAGGGGGCGGGGCCCTTATAAAATGACTCCCTGAGCCTTTTCCTTATCAATCCTGGGACATGATCCTTCCACCAGGCGTCAGTCTGCCCACTCTTGCCATAAACCATCTATTCTCTCTTGCTTCCTTTAGTGGGACGAACACACCGTTTTCTGTTTTAGCCTTCGTTTTATTTAGCATCTGCTCCAACACAAGAAAAAAGCTGTACAATGAGTTGTTTCCAAAGGAAATAGATACAGTGATGGTAGTTTTACCAATTATTTATGGATTTTTATTGTTATGTCACATACTGGGTCCAACGTACTCAAAACATAAAACACCTGGAATAAACATTTCAGTTTTGGAGCCAGGATTCCTAGAAGCAGTTTTTCATGACAGAGGTTTTGCCTCTCCCGCAGTGACTAGAGAGGATAAAGCTATAGGGAACTGGGTACTTTGCAGAAGATCATATTTACTCCTCCATGGATGTGAAATCTCTGTGGTTAACTCTGAGATACAATTTTTCTCTAAAACATGTTGGGAGAGGGAGCAAGGCAGATATTTAAAAGATATCCGTAAGGTACATAGGACAATGCCCAGGGTACTACCTGAGCCATTTTTAGAAAGCTTTGGGTCTAGAAAAATGTTAAAATTTATGATACTGAGAAATTCAGAACAGAAATGTATTTAGCAGTCCTTTATTACTAGTATTACTTTGTTACTATCAGTTGCTCTGATATTATTGCTGCCAGAAGTAACATCATGAGACTGTAGCATAGTTAATGAAAGCATATACTTAAAGTATTTCTAATAAAGATAAGTTTTGTTAAAAAAAAGATAAGTTTGATTTCTATAATTTAAAAATAATTAGTAAAAGATGTTTTTTTTCTATATTGCAATTTCACAAGCTAAAAACAATGAGAAAATGTGTTCAAGATAGCCTTTTATGTTTTTTTTAATTCACTGTTCTTTTCCAAAATCCTTTAAATTATATTTTACTAAAATTTTTATTATGAAGAGTATCACACGTATATAAAAAAAAATAGGATAAGATAATGAACCCACTTGTACCTATCAATTCATAGCCACCTACCCATTTTTCCCTCCCTGTGTTATTTTGAAAACATATCTTAGACGTCATATCAATTCTTCCACGAATATTTCAGCATCTTTCAATTCACTTGTTACATAATCTGTCACTACTTGGTTTGAGTCATTCGCCACATATATTTTTGCAGCAATTTTCTGATCATTCTGTTCACTGGCTCTTTGAAAAATACCGCTCACAATAACATTTCTTAAAACAAACCCCAACACAAATTACTAGAAGGCGGGTTAACATTCATTCATATGCAGGAATGCACTTTGAAGATGAAAAACATGAAATTTTAGTGCTGCCTACTACCTGTTGAGAACCAGAGCTTCATTTCCTTTGTGATCCTCTTTAATGCGCAAAATAAAGTGTCCAGTATGGGTGGCCCTTAGGTATGTCACCAGCTCATCTTGCAACCTAATTCCTTGTATCATTTCTTGCAGATAATGCTTCCATGGACAAGTCCTCATCAAAACTGACCCATGCTGATGGAGAACAAACATCAATCATTCCTGTCCATCAGGTTATTGATAAGGTCAAGGGTTATTGCAGTTCTCATTCAGATAATTTCTATAAAAATATTATCATGTCAGACACCTTCAGCCACAGCACAAAGTTTTAATATCTTTAGTATAAGAAAGAGGAATCCGTGTGCACAAACGTGAAGATGTGTACGCAGTGAAAACTCGGACTAGCAGATGTAAACGTGGCATTACCTAGGTAACTGCATATATACAAAGAATGTGTTTTGTGAAGAAGGTTTTTGTGAAATTCACCATCTGTCTTTTCACTGTGTCTCTTTCACGAGAGAGTTTCCACCATCGCTGAAACTTCAGTACTAAGAGCAGCATAACTCAGTAGCCACGGGGGATTATGATTTTTAAAGTATATAATTGAATCAAACAATCAGAAATTGGGCTTGAGGGGTGGAATATGAAAATTAGAGGACAAGGGACAGGCAGAGCTAGGGATAAGCCCTAGTTTAGAGCTCATTCACGCCCCACCTAATAGGATTGGAAATGGCCATTTGCTTTGTCATCTTTATCAACAATCAAAGGTGTGCTGATATTTGTAACTATTTCGGATGCTCGCAAGTCCCATCTCAGTGCTGGTTTCCACAAATGCAGTCTCATTTCCTCTTTTTAAATGAAATTTCACCCACAGATACAAAAGAATATTTGAATATCTGACTGAAAGTTTAGAAGGGAAGTTTTTCTTATATCAAGTGTTTAACCTTGAAGACAACAACATGCTTAAGAAAGAAAGAATTCTCCCAGTTCTGACCTGGTTCATGCGAGGCCTTGTTCTTTTACTTAGCCTACTTAAGACAGAAAGCTCAAGGATCATCGTTAATTACAGTTTAATCCCATACATTTGAATCAAGTTTAGCGTTGGTGTTCTGTTAACATGGACCTCCCAGTAGTTGAAGAATGAACCTCTTACACGTCTACATTTGCTTCTCTACTGTATTTTGAGCCAGGGGCTCATGGGAGGAAGGAGGATTTCCATCAGGCATGCTGTGTACAGCAGTCTCTCCCTTTTAGGAAAAGCAGCCATTGAGACTCAATGGTCTTGTCCCTGCTCCAGAGACTTTAAGATATTTTCATTTGCACAAATGAAAAGCCTCTTACTTCCTCTTTCAAGAGTTTTGTTCCAAAGAATATAAACTGAGACATACGAGTGACTTATCACAATCAAAATAATTTATGAACATGTGAGTTTACAATTGCCAGTCTAAAAACTATTTGTACTTAAGTCCTCTGATTGTGAGAGCCAGAGGAGGTCTGGCAAGGTAGATGGTGTGTTATTTATGCATTAGGTTTCTGTGTACAAGCCATGCATAATATTAGGCAGCTTAACCTAACTTTCAAACTATCCTGAGTAATATGCTTGCTAGTGAATGTGTAGAGACCACATTTTAATTGTTCTTAAATGATGGAGTCAGATCCAGTTTCTTAGAAATCAGTTTCAGCACCTGCTATACCTTCACATTTGCTCTGGGTTATCTGGGATGTATTGGGTTCCAGGAGGTAGCAGCCTAAGTGATGAGAAGACGAGACGTTCTGGCAGAACCACACTGCTTAAAGGCAGAAGCCAGAACCAAGCACCTTGGAAACCTTTCCCTCTGTGCAGAAAGCAGGTAGCTCTCAGTCTGAGACGCAGGAGAGCTTGCAGGCTTTGTGGCAACCAAGGGGCCGCTTGTGTTTTGTTGATCTTTGGTCGTGTAGCTTTTTGCCAGGCTTAAATGGATAAGATGATGTGGTAATGGGTTTTCATACTGTTGGGTTTTGCAGCAGCCTGGAACACTGTCCTGGGAGACGGGGGCACAGCCCAGCCTGGCCTTCACATGGGAGGGGTGTAGACGGTAGGAAAGGATAGTAAATCTGAGGTCACTAAGATTCACTATAGTAGAGCCACATCTTTGTCTATAGGCGCTTATATTAACAGGCTGCTTATTTTGGCAGAGGTTACATCTTGGTGACAATTAACCTTTATATACTTTCCCCCAAGCCGTAGAGATGATAGAATTTAATTAGCTGTCTACTGTGAGATTTCTACCCAAAGTGCTTATTTAGCTAAAAGTAATTAAGCGATAGCTTTAAAAATAGCTTTGATTTCTACTCATATTCATCCAGATCTGGAAAAACTTTTTTTTTTTTTCATATTTGACAACAGTATCCGCTCCACTTTAGAAATTTCCAATCAGCAGGTAAGGAAAAAATGAAGAAACAGCTGAATAGAAACATTTTCAAGTGGATTTAAAAGACTGAGCCAAATTCAGCCCTCAGTTCTAAGCATGTGGTTCTCACCTTCATTTTGCCGCGTCGGAACAGAATTGCAGGAATTTAGCTGTGGAGCCAAAGTTTAGTTTTGGCCTAACTTTAAGAAAACTATCAACTCAGACTCTCTGGGGTTTTGTTTGTTTGTTTGTTTTCTTCTTTTTCCTGTTTTACAACTACACTGTATTAGAGTCTTAGTCTAGGATCCTGAGATGCTGTCTGTTCTGGTCACCATGACTTGCATCGTAAAGCTTGTTCTTTGTTCAATGTTGACGTAGGCTCTTTTGTACATATTTATTTATTTGTGTTTATAAATGTGAGCTTGTTTTATATCTCAGCTTTATATTGCCTGGCTTTGTCATTTCAATTAACTTTCTGTTGGAGAGACTGTATATATTTTTTTTCTAAATACTTTGTGAAATAGTTTTCTGTAGCAGTGTCTCTGAATATGATAAATGAAAAGTGACTGTGAGTGCAAATTAGAATTGGTAGTAAGAGGCTACTATAGCTGATTTGCCATTTTACTTAAATGGAAACTTTTTCAAATAAATACTTATGTTGTTTGTGATCCAAATTATTCGATTCCTTTCTGAGTGACTACATTTATTTCTGACTCTTAAATAGGAAAAGATTATTTGACAGCTGGAAAATAACCTGCCACTGATTAAGCTAGTGACATGGGACTGCTCTGGCAAAACACTAAGAATGACTGTTTTACAAAGATCCAGTTCCTTGGGGATCAGTGCATTTTGAAGTTCTTAGATTTTTCTTAAGATGACTGATGCAAAGCCAAGCTCTGTGGCAAATTAAAAGTCATGTAGGTTTCATTTGGGGAAGTCTTCAGCATCTTAAAAAGGGAATCAAATCAATAATACTATGGAGAAGTTAGGTCCTGGGATGTTTTTCACATTTCTAGTTGCTGTTTTCATTGTGGGAGGCTTAGGAAAGGACAGACTTTAGCCAACTTGACTTGCATGATTGGCACAGAGCCCCTCACTTCCTCTTGCCGTGATTATTTAGGATAACTCTCTTCTGCGGAGAGCCAAGGCCCAATTTGGCTCACAGCCCTGCTTAGTGCTAAGTTGTGAGGCGTGTCGGATGGTCACTGCTAAATCAGCTCTTCGGAGCCAGCGCTCACAACTCCAGGCCAAACCATGCTAAGAAAACAGGCCAGCAGTTGCTCAAGCTTCATCTCAGTGCCACACAGCAGGTTACTTTAGAAAGCACGGGGAGTAGGTGGGAAACACTTACTTGATTTGCAAGCTGACCGATGTTGTAATATTTCAAAATCTGAAGGAATTGGGCTTTGTAAATGCAGCATTTTGGAAGAACAGCTGTGTTTCCAATTGAGTAACATTTTACTTTTCCCATATAAAAGCGTTAAATCTTTCTCTGCCCCTTTCTGACTGCCCTCTTTTCTTTCTCTCTTCCTCTCCCTAATGTTCCTGCTTTTCTCACTTCTTCCCTCTTTCTCTCTTCCTTCCCTCCCTCCTGCTTCCTTCTGAGGCTAACCAACAGGCTATTAGATGAGGCAAGGAGGTACAAAGGGACAGAGAGTGAGGAAGTGCTGAGTTTCTTGATCTTTATTAAAATAGTGGGAGGCTCGTTTCACCTGCTGGGTCTCGTAAGCACGGTGGTGTCAGGATGGGGCTCTGAGTAAAATTAGAATTTGAAACAACTCTACAGGGAACGCAAATCCTTGGCTAAATTAAACCAAACAAATTAATAAATGGTGTTTGCCCTTAGAATAGCTTTTACAAGTACACTCCCCAAATGATCTCCTTAAAACGTTTTTGTTTGGTGCGTTTTGAAAAACTAGTTTATTTCAAAGTCATAACCAAACGTTTAATATTCTAAAGTCTCAAACCTTGTTGATTTATTTGAAACACTTACGAATAATTAGATGACGAATAATTGCAGACCTACCCCCAAATCTTTTGAGTCTTTAAAGTTACGTCTTCTGGCTGGCTTATTTTCACTGTGATTAATTTAAATGATTTTTCATAAATTCAGGATGTCAGTAAGAATAAAATATTCGGTATTCACATTAAATATAATTTAACATTGATCTGTATAGTGTCTAGTCACACCGTGTGAGAAAATAACAGAATAAAGAGTTTAAATGGTTGAAGAGCAAAAGAAAGATCTCTGGATCACGACAGCATGCTCCTGCTTCATTATCTGAAATCAAACAATCAAAGACCAAGTGTCGTAAGTGACTGCAACCCTGTAACCTTCCTACAAGGAATTTATTGGCCTGAACTGACAGATCTGACACATTTGAAACTATTTTAACTCTCAGAATAATCAGTTTTTCCGTAAAGATCTGAAATGTAATCATTACTGCCAAATTAGAGCTAATGGATTGTCTCCCCTGACACTTAACAGCGATGAACAGTAAGTGCCTACAATGTCTGGAGCACTTAAACGTGACACTTTATACTGTGCTTTTTTTTTTCATTCTCAAATGTGTAGGTCTCTCCTATTGAATGACATTAATATTAAGGTCCAGTGCACCCTCATCACTTTCACAGGTGATAACATACCGTGCAGGCTACGTAACAGGTGCTTGGTTAATGTTTATTGAATCGAATTGAAACTTGCATGGACTCTACCTGGTCCATTTGCATTTTATACTTTGGAAAAGCAGATCTCAAAGTACGTTAGATTTGGTGAAGGGTGGGGATTGGAAGAGCATGGTCTAGAAACACTAAGTAAAGGGGAAAATGCATTAACATTATGCTGTTTAAGACACTTAACCCCCATTGCTGTATGTCACCTTACAGGTTACAGGCACGTAGGGTAAGAACAAGACAATATTAGTTTGCCATCAACTCTACATCCTTTTTAATGGTTTTGGAAAAGGAACTAGTTTCAGCTGAAGTCTGAGATGAGTAACTACACAAATCTGCTTTTGAGCAGTTGTCTTAGGAACTGCTTTATGGCTCAGACTGGCTTCAGTATTAGGGAATTTAATGTACAAGCACAGAGGGCCCTCGTGGAGCCCCGTGGCCAGGCTTTGAGGAATCTGGGACCCAGGGATATTTTTCTCTATCTACTTTTACTATGTAAAATCAAGAAATGTTTTAGAAACCATGCTGAACCGATCATTTGAAAATTATTTCTTTTCATCCCCTCTTGATAAATCCACCAGTTTCCTTGAATGGCTGTTAGGTTGCTGAGGGAACGGTGGTAATTGGCTAACCAAAATCCAATATTCGTTAGACTTGCTTTGTGGGAACTTCTGGTAAATATGTGTTAGTTCTGGTTAACGTGTTGCAAATAAAGAAAAATGTGAGATCCTAACCGGCTCATTAGGTTGGGTTCTATTACTGTCTGTCTAGCACTTTCTACAAGTGAGGAAGCCATGGCGTAAAGGAAGGACGGTGAGCTGTGATACTGTTCACTGGTAAAGATGAGAGCTGGAGAAAGCAGTCATGCAGACTTACTGTTGTTTAAGGTTTGCAAAGGTGGATTGATCCCATTTTGCTGAAGCCAAAAATCCCTTCACTCCGAAGGAATCACAGAATGTAGAAGAAAGATCGCTGGTCTAATGCTCAGGAAATGTTTACTCTGCTAATAATGGCCTGTGCTATGTGCCGTGAGTATGTCACCTGTCTGCTGCAGGCCTCAGTTTATTTATCTGGTAAATAAAAGAGGCTGGTTAAGAGCTAAAAGGTTTTCGGCACTAGACTGTGATTGTCCCCTTTAACTTCTTTAAATATAAAAATGCTAGTCACTTATTTAAACACAGAATCTAAAGACCCAAAATCTACATGCCAAGCAAGACATTTGATCTTGTTCAGTCTGAATTTTTCAAGGGAATATATGCATTTTGCCTCCAATTTACAAAATAAATGCCTTTTCTATGCATACACTTTAGTGCTTTCAGGGCACTAATGAAATCTTATGCAGATAAAATTAATAGGAAGATTTACTTTCAAATACAAAAGAGAAGATATCCCAGCAGGAAGGCAGTACTAGTTGTGAAAATCAGAATTACAGCTTCGATTTTCGGTTAGCAAACCTGTGGAATTAATGATCCCCGAGACATAGGTACAAAAATCCCATTTCTGCCCCCCAGGTGTGTCACAACACTGCACAGCCCACGTGGGAAAGAAGAAAGCTGATCTGCAGGAAATACGAAGACAGTTGCCAAGCATTGTCCTCAAATGGGCAACACTGAGTCTCTCGCTGGCTGAGTGAGAAAGACAGCCCATAGGTTCCACGTAATAAACACACCTGGATGTGCCCCGCAGCGAGAAGAGCTTATTTATCTGTGCCCTGGATGCCTCAGCCAGGTTTGCAACCAAATTAGAGAAAGCTGTGTACACAAAAGTTACACAGGGAAGTTCTTAGCACAGAACTCCTTGCCAGAGATCCAAGGAATGTTTTAAAGATGTAATATATCATGTGATTCCTTTTCAAAGAGTCTGAGCATCTCCAAAGTTGTATTAAACACCAGTTTACAGAGTCACACTAGCAGGAAATCAGCTATGGTGATGCAAAGATGCGGAGCGGAGTAAGAGTTCATTACTGCTACCAGATTAGCACCCTGATACATTTTTTCAAGTACCAGATATGTTTCTGCAAATAGAAGTTGCCACTACTTTGATTAGCCTGCTTCAAGTTAACATTAATAAAAACTCATTTCTTCAAAAATTGTGGTAGATACCTCTATACACAGAATGTTTTCTAGATGAAGTAGTCAGGAGTGTAAAAAGGACATTTTCTTCTCAGGAGCAATTCCAAGCGAGGAGTCCAAACAAGAGTTAGGAAATACTTTACTAGGGCCTTTGCCACAGTTACAGAACAATCACTTTGTACTTACAAAATGTTGGTTGGTTTTTGGGTTTTGTGGGGTTTTTTTGTTCTTCCTTATCCCCCCAAACTATAAGGGATTGCTAACATAGTTGTGGCTTTCATTCTTCCAAATAATTTGCAATTCACTTGGAAATTTTTTTCCTTCAAAGGATCTTTTTCCTAACATTGGTTCTGCTAGTTTGCATGATCCTCTTTTACTGAATATTAAAGCACGTGAAGTTCCAGCATTCTCTTCCCTTATCCTCACATTAATTTTCCCTATATCTCACTTAGCGTGTATGTTTGATGCAGGGGGCCACTATGAGCCCGGAGTCATAGTGAGGAAGCAGTATCTCATGGCATCCCCTTGTGTTCAATTACCCTTTTGCCGTCTACTCCTCTAACCTGTGAGGCGCTCTCAGGGCCTCTACGTGCTTCTAGGTAGAATTATGATGTGCAAAACCTTGCTTTCTTCAGTCACAACAAAACAAAACAGCAGGGCAAACCCACTGGACCCTAATCCCTCCTTCCTTCTAAATTCTTGTGAGCACAGGCTTCTATAAAGCCAGTGTGGGGGTAAGCAGGGGCCCAGAATCTCGTGTTACTTTGAGCAAATATCAGTGTAGTTTTTTGCAATCTTTCTCTTATAATATATCCTAAAATAAAACGAAGTCAAATGGATTCAGAGTTACTTATTCTCCTGATTTCAAATATGTCAGCAAGTCCTCACCACATTTAGTTCCCTGGTCTTAAAACCAACAAAGATCTTTT